AAATCTGTATATAACAGCCCAAATCATTTTTCACTAGCCCAAATCCACTCTTTACTTTATAGCCCACAAATTGTTAGTTAAAAAATTAGCAAACCCTCTGTCTATGTTGAGAGTTAGCAGTGGAGAAACACACAACCACTCACTCGGCTAAGGCATCAGACAAAGAAAGATTGAGAGAGAGAGAGAAAGAGAGAGAGAGAGAGAGAACAAATGTCTCTGTCTTTGAAGGTAATATACATCGTTCCGAAGCATCAGCAGATCGACCATTTCAATGGCCAGATCTGCTACTTCCATGAATAGATCTGGTCAATAGTGGGCAGATCTGAGCAGTGCACCATTGATACCAAATCTGCTACTTCCATCGAAGAATCAGACCCGATGTGAAGCAGCAAGCTTGAGCAAATGAATAAAAGAGATAAAGAGAGACATAGATCGACAAAAAACAACAAAAAAAGAAGGTAAGTTAGTCCACTTTTTTTTATCTATATCAAACACCATGCAATGTTCAATGTTTACATGTGTTCCCCACTACATATGCCAAAGAAAGCGACATTATACATAGACAGAGAGAAAGAGAGAGACAAAGACAGAGAGAGAGGCAAACCTGGTTGAGCAAAAATAGCATCGTTCAAGGAGAAGAGGGGACCAGTGTGAAAGTGAAAGTGAAGGGGAATGGAGGTAAAAATCCTACAATTTTTACTATAGAGGGTATTTTAGATTTTAGTCATTTAATCCTACTTCTCAATTCCACAATCCCTTACAGTAGAAGGGAATTCTCAATCACTTGTAGATGGGATTCTTTGTTTCAAAATATACGGCTGATTTTTTCAAAACCAACGAAAATACAATCCCAAACAACTTACCCAAACCAAGGATACATGGACTGTATTCACAATTTTAATCCAATCCCCCTTAATCCTATCATCCAAACACCACCTAGACTTATGAGAATAAGTTGTTTTCCTTTTTGCTTATTTCTCATTCCAAGGCTTTATTCAACCCCAACCCTTATAACCACCATCTTTTCTCTTCAAACCTTTTACCCGTAGAATGTTGGGGTCAACATTTTCATCCTCACGAACTTTTTCATCCCCACCAAGTGATGCATACATGATGTCAACTTTTTTGGAAAGCTCATCAATATCCTTGTTCACTAGTTGGTATGCAGGCTTAATGCTAGAACAACGAGCTGCTAGTGGTACCATTTTACTACAAAGTTGCCTATACTGTTCTGAACCCATCAATTTGGGATCTTCCTCATTTGGTCTGACAGTGAAAATCTGCCTACATAGCCTTGTTGCATCTCACCACTATCTTTGTATTATGTAGTGATCTGGAATTTTCTTAATGGTCACCGTATCTAGAACTTTAAGTGCATGACTACATAAAAACCCAACAATTTCAAATCTTCGACAACTACAACTAACTTTTTGCTCATTAGAATTAATCAACACCAAATATTCCTTGATTTCGTCGTATAATCTAACAACAAATGCTGACAACCATCAAACACATCCATCGGCTTTGCAATAGCACATTGGAACGCATCATACTCCTCTTGAAATCTCTCAAAAATAGGAGTGTAACATTGTCCTGCTTACACTAACATGGGAGCTCTTTTTAAGCATAATCTTGGCAAATTTTGCTTCGCATGGTATTCTACCTCAAACTGTTTATACCTTTCGTCATTTTATTGTTCAATCAAAATGGGTAAAAAATTGAACAATATCATGGTCTAGCTTCAAGTACCCTCATAATGTTGCATAAAGGCTCTCACTAAGCTGAGTACTCCTCATACTTTCTGTGAAAGTATCCTTCAAATATACATGTGTCCATTTTTCCTCCAATGCCCAAGTTGAATTGATCCATATGTTATCTTGCAAATTATATTCATCAAGCAAAAATTTTCATGCATCAAAAAACTTATGTTCTTCCTCATATTCATATATGCAATTTTTGAATTGGTTTGAAAACTTTGAACCATCCTTATAAAGGTACCCTAGATGCTTTAAAGTATTTTGGGATAGGTGCCATGTACATAACCCATGACAAGTCTCTAGTATCACCTGGGATAAAGCCTTAGCCATTGCTTGATCTTGGTCAGTAAATATGATAATTGGCTTCTTCCTAGACATTGCATGTAGAAATGTCTCAAATAAGCATTGAAATGAAGTTGTTGTTTCATCATACATCAATGTAGCACCAAATATTACTGTCTCCCGAAAATAGTTGAAGCCGATAAAAATCCCAAATAGTCGATACTCCTTATTTGTTCGAAATGTTGTGTCAAATGAAGCATCCCCAAAGTGACTATAATCGATAATCATTCTTGATTCGGGCCAAAATATATTTGTGATATGCTCCTCAACATCCAACTGCACACCATAATAGAATGTTGAATTTTTTTCTGCTTCTGTTTGGAAATATTTTAACAAACTACCTGCTTCACCATATCGCAGGTCTTGTTGTCTCCTTTTTTGAATGTAATTCTTTTGATCTTAAAGAGTGAATCCTAAGCTTTCCCTCCCACCCGCTTGCGTAACCAAAAGTTCATACGATGCCTTCAGTGAGATCCCATAATCCTCAGCCATATCAACATTTATGCCTTGGCCTCCAGAAATCTTTTGTTAGGATGACATCATATGTATACATTCAGTAAGGTGCAAAGGGTGTTTGTGTTTGTCTTCCTATTTCACCATAACAAATTTTTCAATATCTCTCTTAAGAGATATGCACATGTGAGCTGAATAATTCGTTTGTGTCTCTGCTCGAGACTTTGTTATTTTTTAATCCCTTTTTATCTCAACTTCTTTGTCCTTCTTTACAATAAACATATTTTTTATAGATTACTAAACCATCCTTCAAACTTTTGTTGTGATAATCTTTCCGCACACTAAATCCCACAGATCCTCCATAATTGTTATAGAATCTATAATCATCTTCCTCCGTGTCAAATTGCATGTCAATATGCGGAGTATTATCTGTTATCTCAATCTCGGCACATTCTATCTACATTATAAATAGGTCACCTAAAATGTCAAAAAAATTATGAAAATATCAATACAATATCAACATCATATTAAGAACAAAATATAACATTAAGCATATTCATAAGCACAATGTTAAAGATGTCTAATCTACATAAAACATATAAAAAAGTTTAAACAAACAATTTTTTGGTAAATGAAATATAAACAATATATTACTGGTAAACAAATCTACAAGATATTAATAAACAAATTTTTTTTAACAGATCAACACACTAATGATTACAATTTCGATGTGATAGTGGTACATTTTCAAAGCTTAAAAAGAATCATAAACAATACGAAATCACTAAAAAAAAAAAGTGCTTGAACTTACAAATGGAGTCCAAATCAAATGGAGTGGGAACGAATTTTCAGATGGACTGTGCAACCAACTCGAATGAAATATTGGGTTTTGGGATTTTTAAACAATACAAGGGAAGTCTATGGGAATCCAAGTACTAGATTTTGAGATTTTCAACAATATGATGGAAGTCTATGGGAATACAATCTTGAGGGCGGGAGAATGTGATGAACCATTGCTGAAATTTCATTTTTTGAGGGTTTTTGTGCTTTCACCGTGGCAAAAAATGGTGCCGTTTGGCCCCTTTTTTTTTGTTTTCCAGTAGTTCGCAAAACGGCAGCATTTGGGGCCAAAACACTGTCGTTCCACTTAATAGCACCACCTATTGTTATCTTCTCACAACAAACAAGCCAAACCCACCTGAATATTACTAGTATCTAGTAATACATGGGTCTCAAAAACTAAAAATCAAATAAAACAACCTAATAAAATAAAATACAAATCCACTTTCACAAGACACATGTTTGCATTTAGTATACGTAAGAAGCTTTTAAACAGCTAAGTTTTCCTTAGTGGATGAGTTATAGTCTCATGAAAATTTTAAGTGAAGATACCTACAAACTTTTATTAATCTTTTTTTTTTTTGAACCGTTATTAATCTATTGATCCTTTGAATTTAACATATAACTTTAACAAAATATAAAGCAACAATATATTTGATAGAAAAAAGAATAAGTTCTTACCAAGTCAATTTGTAGAATTAAAAGCTATATAGTATTCACATATTGAATCCCTATTGAACCTCATGTGTGGTCTGCAAATAACTGTGCATGATTAGATGATCAATAAAAAATAACTCATCCCTTCCCCGATCTATGGTTAGACTCGATGCAATCCTCACCAAAGTATATACTTAACATATATTTACTCTGACTATAGTGACGATGTATGTGAATAGATTTGATATAAATCAAAGCAATATATAACTCACATATATTTCATAATCAATAACGACTATATCAATAAAAATGACTTGACATAGTTTTATGAAAAGAAATCAATCCATGATTAGTAAAATAATCATTATTCCTCTCCTTATTCACACAAATCATATATCAAGCAATACACTCTTGAAATATGTATTTTCCTATGGTTGTGATGGGCTTTGGGATTAGAGTTTAGAAACAAATGATGTCCAGGAGTTCAAAATATTATCTCGAAAAAATAATAGATTACTCAATTATATTTATATGTAATTCATTTTAATCCACTAAATTAAATTGAGTGTTATTACTTAGCTTACTTAAAATTGGCATTAATTATTATAAGTATTCAACCTATTAATTTATGGGCGAATTAAGCTGATTGATGAGCCAAAGATAACAATTGTCACTATAAATTGCTTGTTAGTAGATCCCAACTTTAATCATTAAACTAGGTCAAAAAAAATACAAAACATTTTCCTTACCATGTCTAGCTCCAGTTTTTTTTTTTTTTTAAATACTATATCTAGCTGGCACCACAGCATGAACTCCCAACCCCCTCCGTCGCTTCCCGTTTCTCTCCCACTCAGACTCTTTACCTCTCTGCTCTTTCCCTAAACGGCTAAAATCCCGACCTGCCCAATTCATGCCCTCTGTCCCTCCCTCTTTCTTCCTCCAAACAACAAAATGGGTTCATTTTTAATCTCTCTGACCTTCACCATCTGTATTCTAATCTCCACATGCCCGTTAACATCATCAACCACAGATACATCTACAATTTCATCAATCTACGATCTTCTCCACTCCCACGGTCTCCCAATCGGTCTCCTTCCAAAAGGTGTGACTAATTTTACGATAGACCCATCCACAGGCCATTTTGAGGTGTATTTGGACAACATTTGCGACACCAATTTCGAATCCCACGTCCGTTTTAATTTGAATGTCTCCGGCACCCTAAGGTTTGGTGAAATTGCGGAATTGTCCGGTGTCGCTGCGGAAGACCTGTTTCTTTGGTTCCCTGTGAAGGGTATTAGGGTGGATATTCCTAGTTCCGGGTTGATTTACTTTGATGTAGGTGTTGTGTTCAAGCAATTCTCTCTCTCATCGTTTGAGACTCCGAGGGATTGTATTGTGCTGGGTCTGGATTCGCCACAACTTGATCTGTTTCTGTTCAATGATCATGGCCGAATTGTTGAGGTTGGAATATAACATCCTATAATCCTTTTTATCTTTGACTATTTTTTGGGTCTTTGCGCATTTAGCAGATTTTATATTATTTGCTTTTAATGGGCATTGGATATTAGTGGGTAGAGGAAGTAGTTGTTGAGATTCATTCATGTTTTACCTTTACTATATAATGGTTCAAAACTGTGAAAGGTTAGACTGAATACCGCTTAAAGAACTAAGGGCTTGGTTGGATGAGTTTTGGGGAGGGGTTTGGATTGGTTTCTTCGAACCCTTCCAAATCCAAGCCCTCTTTACAAAGATGAGATTCAACATTCAATCTGGTTTATACCCATATTTAGTATGTAACATATACATACGTAGGACCACGGATATATCATAATTATTAACAACAATTTGTCTTATAAATAACTATTTTACTCTTGATCAATTCAATTCATATCCTAGGAGTACAATTGTTTTTTGGATTCTTAACCCCTTACCCATCTTTTTAAATCCACCCCCTTCCCCCTTCCCCCTTCCTAGGTTTGACGAAATCCATGATCATAGGTTTAATTTTCGGGCCAGCTACGGGCCGGATTTGGAAATTTGGGACTGAAATTTTCATACAAACATGAGATTTGGGGGCCATTTGGACTATTTTCCCCAAACCCTTCTTACCAAGGCCCCCATACCCTCTTACCAATAAGCCCCTAAGTGGCTGCCCGAAGGTTTTTATGCACAAACTCACGTGCATGCAGCTTGCCCAACAATTTTATCACTGCCTTAGGCAGTGGCCCGTTTCACGGTTTACCTTCTATATAGGAATGATCATAAGGGTCTTTAGTTGTTGTTAAGAATGAGGAAGAAATGATTTGGAAGAAAGAATCTCCATTTTCATTATTGTGTTGAATGACACAAGGTCTACATTTATACAAATTACAAGAGCTAACTATCTCACTTCTAACTCACTCTCTTTTCTAACTAATTGAATCTGTTATAACAATAATTAGATCCTAACTAACTACTGTAACTAATTATGCCAGCTCAACTCTTGGGTGATCTCATTTCAGCTCAATTGCATGTGCATAGCTTTCTTGAAGTGAAATAGATACATTCTGGTGTGCTGCAACTCCAAGTCCAGCTATGCAAGAGATACTCTGTATGCAGCTTTATCTTCATCTATGCAGCTTCAGCATCTTCAGCTCATGCTTTGATTCAGCTTCTGTAGCTGCAATATTCTCAATACACACCCCTCAAGATGGAGTGTAGATGTTATGAACACCCATCTTGCCAAGAAGTAAAGAAAAAGAAGAAAGACCAAGTGGTTTGGTGGAAATATCATTGAGTTGATTTGAAGATGTAACATGAAGAGCTTTGAGGATGCCATGATGGATTTGATCACGAACATAGTGACAATCCAGCTCAATGTGCTTTGTTCTTTCATGTAAAACAGGATTGGTTGCAATGTGTAAAGCTGCTTTGTTATCACAAAAGAGTAAAGCAGGAAGAGGATGAAGAATTCTGAAATCAGCAAGGAGAGCAAGCAACCAAGTGAGTTTACAACAAGTAGAGACCATAGCTCTATATTCTGCTTCAGCAGAAGATTGAGAGACTGTAGATTGTTTCTTTGATTTCCAAGAAACAAGGGAATTGCCCAGAATAACATAGAAATCAGTCAATGATTTGCGTGTATTAGGGCATCTAGCTCAAGCAGCATCACAGAAAGCTTTAAGATGGAGAGCTGAGGAGAGTGGGAAAAATAAAGCTTGAGCAGGTGTGGCTTTAAGATATCTAAGAATGCGATGAGTAGCATCTAAATGAGGTTGTCTTGGGGTGTTCATGAACTGACTAAGAACCTGAACTACATAAGCCAAATCAGGTCTTATAAGAGTAAGGTAGAGTAATCTGCCCACAAGTCGTCTATAAGCAGAAGGATCAGATACTTCTGAACCAGTGAGACTGTCTAGCTTTAGATGTTGTTCCATTGGAGATTTAGCTTGTTTAGCACAAAGAAAATCAGAATCTTGAAGCACTTTGAGAGCAAACTTGCGTTGATAAACTGAAATTCCCTGAGATGATCTCGCTATTTCAAGGCCTGAAAAATATTTCAAAGAACCAAGGTCTTTGATTTTGAATTGACTATGAAGAAAGTGCTTCAAGTCAGCTACATCAGTAGGAGTATCAGAGGCTATAATTATGTCATCAACATAAATCAACATAGCTAGAAAAAAATTATCATCTTGTTTAATGAAAAGAGAGTAATCAGATTTGGATTGTACACAACCATATCCAAGAATTGCCTGAGATAGTTTAGAAAATCATTGTCTTGATGCTTGTTTCAACCCATACAAGGACTTATTCAGCTTACAGACTTGATTGAGTCCCTTCTTAGCAAAACTAGGTGGAAGTTGCATATAAACTTCTTCAATAAGGTCTCCATGTCAGAAAGCATTATGAACATCTAATTGATAAAGATGTCAGCCTTGGACTGCTGCTAAGGCCAATAGACATCTGATAGTGGTGAACTTAGCCACCGGAGAGAATATTTCAAAATAATCCAATCCCTCTACTTGAGTATACCCTTTAGCAACTAGCCTTACTTTGTACCTTTCAATGGTACCATCAGCCTTGTACATGATCTTATATACCTACTTACAACCAATAGAAACCTTGCTAGTTGTTAGAATAGTAACGGTCCAGGTATTGTTAGCCTCAAAAGCTTGGATTTCAGAATTCATGGTTGTGTAACATTCAGAGGATTTAACAGCCTCATGGAAATATTGTGGTTCATAATGTTAAGAACAAAATAACGATGTGCAACAGATAATTTGTTATAAGAAAGGAATTGAGAGATATCATAAGCAGTACCTGATGAATGATAACCACTCACCATAGAGATTGAAGTGGATGATTGAGAAGAAATAAGCTGGCAATGGTAATCTTGTAAGTAATTAGGGGTTCTTCTTGGTCGATGAGATTGTCTAAGAGAGGGTTGATGTGTAGGAGAATAGGAAGGAGAATCAATAGGATAATCAGCTGAGGGGATGACATTGTCATCAGATGAAATATAATCAGAAGTAGTTAAATCATCAAGTAAAGAGGGAAGAACTAAGGAATTGTCTTCAGCAGATTGAGAAGAAGTATCAATGGAATGAAAAGGAAAGATAGACTCATGAAATACAACATCTCAAGAGATGAAAACAGAATGTGTAGTTAAATCATAAACTTTGTATGCTTTAACAGCATAATGATATCCAATGAACACACATTGCTTAGCCCTTGCATCAAATTTTGATCTATTGCGAGGGTGAATGGATGCATAACACAAACAACCAAATACTTTCAAATGAGAATAACTTTGTTTATGAGAGAACAATTCATAAGGAGTCAAAACTGGTGTAGGTAGCCTATTAATTAGATAACCTGCTATTAGAACACAATATGAAGGGGAAGATTAGCTTGAAACCTTAAGGCTCTCGCTGATTTCAAAAGATGTTGGTGTTTTCTTTCCACTACCCCATTATGTTAAGGGGTATCAACAAAGCTATGTTGATGAATTGTGCCTTGTGATGTAAAGTAAGACTCTACAGAAAATTCTAAAACATTATCGGACCTTATATTCTGGACCTTTGTACGAAACTGAGTTTCTACTAAGGTAAAGAATGAAATGAGTAAGGATTGAGTAGCTGATTTATGCTTCATGATATATAACCAAGTGCATCTAGAAAAATCATCAACAATAGAAAGGAAATACTGTGAACCATTTAATTAATGTACAAAAGAAGGATCCCAAATATCACAATGCACTAACTGAAAAGGACCAACTGATGTTGTGGTGCTGATTGGAATTGGTAACCTATTTTGTTTAGCATAATGACAAACATTGCAATGATCATTATTACAAAAAGTAATATCAGACACATCTTTGTGTACCAAAGCTAATCTCTGAGAAGACAAGTGGCCAAGTCTAAAATGCCAAAGATTAGAAGAGACTTTAGTTTGTATAGAAGAAACATTGGAATAAGATTGATTGCGAGGATTCTGCATAAGGTAGTACAATCCATTTCTTTCTTTACCCATCCTAATTGTTCTCCACGCTAACAGGTCTTGAATAAAACCGAAACCAAGTTGAAATAAGAAACAACATGAGAGTTGATGAGTGAAATGAGATTGAAATTGAAAGATGGCACACATAAGACATTGGTTAAAAGGACAGGATTGGACAATCTGACTATGGTTCAAAGTTGCGGTATTGGTCATCAACTCGGAGAGCACTAATACACATCGGTCGCGGTGTTGTGGTATAGTATCGGCCGATACGCTCAAAATGCTAGATAAAAGCTCTAAAAAAATTTGAAAAATCATAAATTTTTTTTGAAAAATATAAATATCATCATCCATGCATCATATGCCCACAATAAATCAAAAAACACATTAAACATAATTAAAATGAAACATAAGAGCGTTACCAAAAATATTGGTCATTATCAATATTCAACTAATTGAAATTGAAATATTAATATTGATATATCTAATTATTATATTAGATTTAAAAAGTACCAATGTTTTTTAGGATTAAAAAATATTGATATTTTTTATTTTTAAAAAATATTGATGTATCTAATCATTATATTAAAAAATATTTGATATTCTATCTTTGATTGAAGTATTTTTTGTCTAAGTATAATATTTTAAACTTAAAGGGCCTAAGTAATATATGTTTACAAACTTTAGGGGGGTGTGAAAATAATTTATTAACGGATATATTTACAGCAGGGTCTATCTGTTTCGCTTGTACAAACTTTAGGGGTTTGTATATAATATTTCAAATATTAAGGGTCTAAATGATTAAGTGATAAAATTTAAGGGGGGTGAGTGTAATTCTCCAAAAAAAAATTGATTCATCGATAACAAAGTATTTTATAACTCTGTTTGAGAGTCGGTCTTTTAGAGCTTAGTCTTCAGACGCTGTGTATGGAGAGAGAGAGAGAGAGTGGTTTGATACGCTGTGTATCAACGATCATTGGAAGACTGGTTCGCGACTACTTCTCTATCTATCGCGACTAGTTCGCAGCAAAGAAGATCAGGAAAAAAAAATAGAAAAAGAAGAAGTAGATAAAGTGGCATGGGGATCTCTTTGATCTGTATTCAATTCTATAGGTATGTCATACAAATGCATACAATCTTTGTGGTAGTGGGCCTTTTATTTTCGGACTGGTTGAGGGCCTTTTATAGATATGAGTCTTGAATTCTTCATCTTTTTCCTTTTTATTTTGAATTCTTTCTTTTTGTTCAAGATTTTGGAGATTTTCCACAAGATTTGATCATACCGGACCGATCCCGCTATGAATCGTCTGATTCATACCGAGTTGCTCCAATTTGTGCCGATACGTCTGAGTCTGACCGAGATATCGCCGAGTCAAGTGAAAATCGGAATTTTTGCATAACGGGTATTGATATTGGATCGGTAGGGGCCGAGTCTACAACCGATATTTTGAACCATGAATCTGACAGGTACCAACATGGCTTACTGAAACAACTTTTCCATTTGGCAATCTCACTGATGTGTTGGGAATATAATTTGTAGAAGCTAAATAAGAAACTGAACATACTATATGGTCAGTTGCTCGAGTGTCAATTATCCAAGGAATCTTAATTTCAGAATCATCATGTTTTGAAGAACATGATGAAGAAACATCATGCGATGCAGATTTATTCCCTGATAAACATAACAATGAATCACTTGAGATGCTACCTATTCGGTTCACAGAAGGTTGCTGTTCTTTAGCTTGAGATTGCAGCTTAAAAAAATTTAGCAACTGTTGAACTTACTCTTGAATTATTGGAAGCTGTGGATTTGGATTTTGATTGATCTCAGAGACTGATTTTTCACCACTAGCATGTCCAGTCTTCTGAGTATTTGTTCCAGAATTATTCTTGTTCTTTGTGAAATGATATCTAGGTGGATGGCCATGCAATCTGTAGCATTTGTCAATTGTATGACCTAAAGTTGCCCATTGAGACCAGGTTGGTTTTGATTTGTTGTATTTTTTACCATTAGATTAGTATGTTGAAAAATTTAACTTGCTCAAGAGTGCAGTGGAATCAATGCTCTGAGGAAGAGAGGTCATAACCTCACGCTTGCCTTTCTTCTTGAAGAACTAAGGCAAAAACCTTATTAATTGAAGGCAAAGGATCTTGAAGTAAGATCTGACTTCGAACATGAGAGAAGGTGTCATTCAGTCCCATTAGAAACTGAATGATGTAATCGTGCTGCTGATACTCAGTCGTTGTCTTCATTGCTCCACAAGAACACACAGGAATGGGACGATAATTCATCAATTCATCCCATAATCCTCTGAGTTGAGTGTAATAGTTACTTACAGAGAGATTATCTTGTGTCAAAGATGAAATGAATTTCTGAAGCTGAGAAATTTGTGGTCCATTTGATTGTTAGAATCTCTCTTTCAATTCATCCCAGATCTCTTTTGCAGAATCAACATACAGTACACTTCTTGCTATTTCGTTCGATAAAGCATTCAAAATCCAAG